TGGTGGGTTTGAACCGCCAGCCGTCTGGTTAGCAGGCAAGTGTCTTAGCCACTATGCTACCATAAATAATTGCCTTGGCCTGAGTCTTTCTGTGAAATCTGAGACTTTTGAAAATCAAAAGCCTTTATGAACTATTTTCTATTGTTATTTACTCATTCAAAGAAATACCTTTAAATAAGAGAAAAAAAGTCTCCTTAGAGAAATTGGAAAGTTGTCAGCAAGAACACATAAACAGCATGTGGGTGAGTTGACTGTTTTCTCCAACCACAACCATTGGTTCATTACTTACTCAAGACAGATATACACTAGGATGGTTTATAGTGTTTAACACATGTGAATATTATTTGTACTGTGTTTTTAAGTGACAAGCCTTCTGGTGGTATTGTCTTACTTTATTTTGCATAATCAAATGCATCTGATTTTTCTGTGATTACATTTTACAGCATATATATGCCAGATCCAACTCATAGCGACCCTTCCTTGGGTTTCCGAGGCAGTATCACTATGTAAGTAGATTGCCCAACTTTCCTTCCGAGGAGTGGCTGGTGGGTTTGAACCGCAGTTCAAATGCCTTAGGGACTATGCCACCAGAGCTCCCCCATATGTATTCACTTTGTATATTCTCTATATTCAAAATTAACATCTTATTCTGAAAACTGCTCAAATGATTTTATTTTTCCATTATGATAAAATATAATACCCTGAAAAATAAAAATGACTGTTGCATCATGTCATTATTTATGTTCAAAATAATATATTCAGGAACTCTGGTGGCATAGTGCCTAAAGCATTTGACTGCTAACCAGAAGGCTGATGGTTCAAACCCACCAGCTACTCCTCAGAAGGAAGGTTGCACCATCTAGTTCCATAGTGATACCACCTCAGAAACCCAAGGTGGGTTTGCTAAATATATCACCCTGAAAAATAAAAATGACTGTTACCTAATGTACTTATTTATGTTTAACATAATATATTTAGTGCTGATAAATTATCTCAAAGAGGGAATACTAACACACACACAAAAATTATTCCACTAGTGCCCATCAACTTAAATTTGAATTTGTTAATACTCCTCTTTAATTAAAAGTGTGAATTCTACAATTATGATTTCTTATTTGCCAAGTACGTTAACATACTCTGCCTGACAAACCATACATTCTATATTTACCCTGTAATACGTATTTCTACTAATGATTTCATATTAAAATGGAAATAGAAATGCTGTTAGAAAAAAAAAAAAATCCCACTACTAGATATATATCCTAGACAAATACAAGCAGGGACACAAATTGATATATGCACACCCATGTTCATCACAGCATGAGTCACAATAGCAAAGAGATGGAAACAACCTAAGTGCCCATCAATGGTGAATGGATCAACAAACTAGGGCACATACATACAATAGAATACTATGTAACATTAAGGAATAGTAGAGAATCTGTGAAACACCTCAAAATGTGGATGAATCTGGAAAACATTATGCTGAGTAAAAAAAAATCAATCACAAAAGGACAAATATTGTATGAGTCCATTATGATAAAAAGTCAAGGAAAGGCTTACGCACAGAAAGAAAACATTCTTTGATGGTTTCCAGGGATGGGAAGGGAGGGGAGGAAAAAAATCTCTAACTAGAAAATATGCATGTATTAATTGTCAAGCCTTTCTTCTGTAATGTTTCTGCGTGGTTTCACATGACCAACCTTCCAGTTTGTAGCCAAGC